GAGGATACGACAACAGACAGAGTTGAGGATACAACAGACAGAGTGAGTTAAATAAAAGCGTGTAAAAAACTTTAAGCTGCTCTATTTAAATATTCTATTTTATTTTACTACGATGTAAGGCCCCCCCACGAAGCTCCTATGTATCTCTTTCTTCAGAAGCGACCCTGACCGTCACAAATTGATGGCTCAATTAAGTTGGTTTATCATGTAGAAATGTATAGCAGCAGCCAGATACTCTAAATGCAGAGACATACATGGAGACTCACAGACTAAACTATAAACTAAACAATTTTTACACACTTTTTATTAACTCTGTTGTCATATCCTCAAATCTTGTAACTCAAATTTAACCCACTTCCCAATGTCGTATCTACTGTAAACTTGGTATGCTTATGTCATACTGATGACAATACTATATTTTGTCGTAAGAAATATATATTGTTAAACAATCTTTTTATATGTTATGTTTCAGCTTGGGTCTAATTGTCCACGCTGAACTCACGTTGGCAGTAGTTGACCACGGTCCCTTACGTTATGGCAAGCTTCGGGGCCACTTCCTGGAGTCGTGGAGTTCTGCCATTACTAGTATGGTACATTTCATTAAAGCGTGTTTAAAAAAAAGTATTTTTACACATTACGTATTAGGAAGTGGAAGCTGACAGAACTCTACCATATCTGGATATTCTGCTCGGGCGCGGTCTAAATGGTAAAATAACACACCGAGTTTAACGAAAGAAAACTCTCTGACACCTATCTGAATGAGTCACACCATCACCCCGCACAGAAATCCTATTTCATCAAGATGCTCTTACATCGGGCTAAGAAAGTGTCAGATGAAGATAGTCTGAGAAGTGAAATTAAACATGTTAAAGAAGCGCTGCAATTGAATGGTTACAATTATGCACAAATCCTCAGGGAATTGAATGGCAAGGCCAAATCAAATAACATGACCGTTGAAACTGACCATGTAATTAAAGCTATTCAAATACCGTACATTGCAGGAGTAACTAATAAACTAGCCAGACGTTTGGAAAAAATAAAACATCCGAGTCAGATTTGGCACGGTACATAAAATACAGAAATTTATATCTGGTACAAAAGATGTATTACCGAAGCGATCAACAGAAGGTGTGTACCGGATTTATTTCACTTGTGGCAAATGCTGTGTTGGACAAACAGGACGAATGATCAGCACGAGACTAAAAGAACACCAAAGAAATATTAAGTTCTCCCAAATATAACTGTCGGCAGTGGCAGAAAACTCATGCCAACAAGGACACTCAATTGATTTTGATAATGTTGAAGTTCTGTGCAAAACTAGCTACTACTGGCCAAGGCTAATTAGATAATCTATTGCAATTGAGAGAAATAAAAAATAATAGCTACAGACTTAGTGCTGCTTGGAAGCGAATCATCCAATAATACATTGACTAAATGCATGCTTATACATGTCGCCATACTACAATAGAGATTACCTTTGGTATGGCAATTTTAGTACAGTAAAACCTTGGATTGCGAGTAACTTGGTGTGCGAGTGTTTTGCAAGACGAGCAAATTTTTTAAATAAATATTAATTTGATAAACGGAGCGAGGTCTTGCAATACGAGTTGTACGTATACGCTTTGTCTGCCGAGCGTCACGTGATCACAACTGATATACGAGTGCTTTGGATTACAAACACGTTTCCGGCAATGGATGCCCATTGTCATTTATGTGTATTCACTAGCTGTACTACCCGGCTTCGCCCCGGACTTGGATTCACCACACCCTGCCGCCTTTGTCTCCCCAGTGACGATGTTCACACACCACATCAGTTACTCGTTTGAGGCTGAGTCAACCTAGGGGATGCCCAGGACCGGTTCAAATAATCGTCACCGGTGGTGGCCGTAAGCGGGAATCGAACCCGGGTCGCCGGGTTCGTAGCGCGGCGCGCTAACCACCACACTACAATGCGTTATGCTTTCACATGCGCCGGTCACGTGACAGATTTTACGTCACAACTCACTTGCCGTGCAAAAAAAAAATGCATTATTGAGCTCCCCTCTCCCAAAAAACCCACAAAAGTGTATTTTTATAATGTTTGCATGGTGTATAGTCTGGAAAGTACCCACAGGGAATGGCTCAGACTCCCGGCCACGTAGTTTTACCCGGGCCCGCTCACCATCATGAAGGCCCTTAATGAGCGTGAGCAGAGGATCAGGGACTCTGAAAGCACGAATAACAACCCAGAGCCCAGGCCTACTGATGGTATTGTAATGGGTTCCATAACAACTTGTAGAGGTAACTTCTTTATTACAATCCAACACTCCAACAGTCCTGATACTCTGTTACAGCCTAGGTACACAGCCTAGATACACTACTCTGGCTACGCTCTGGAACTCGCCCTCACAAGGATGTAGAGCCGGGAGTTCCAGAGTCCCACCACTGGCCCTCACATCGTCCCAGGGTCCTGAGATGGCTGGTCTTGGGTCTTGAGCTACAACTGGCCCTGATCGGCCAGGGAGCTGCCCTTTTATGCCTCATCCCCAACGAGGGGTGGGGTTGTGTGCGCCCCCAGATATCCCACAGAGCACACACAGCCCCCCCCGTTGGTAGCGCCAAGGGGCTTAACTGGCTGAGTTGTCTGGGATCCCAGCGCCTGGCGCCAAGTGGCTTAAGCGTCTGGGTTGTCTGGGATCCTATCGCCCCCAGCAGCCCCTCCCCTCTTATGTCACTACAGTATCATAGGCCTTGACCAGGTCAATGAAGCAGAGATGCAGGTCTTGTTGGAATTCCCTACACCTCTGCTGTAGCAGACAGACAGAAAATATGGCATCTGTGCAAGGACCACCCTTTCCTGAAACCGCATTGGGGCTCTGCAAGCCTCTCCTCATCGTGCCTAGCAAGGCAATTTTGAATAATTCTTGCCAGGACCTTTCCCGGCAAACTGAGGAGTGAGATGCCCCTGTCAGCCAGGGTCTCTGGGGAGGTCTGGACCCCGTACCCAAAGCAGCCATTGCAGCTGCATGAGTCACAGTCCTAAACCTCACCCATTTCCCCTCGACATCAGGAGGAGTGGGGGATGATGCCAACCCCAGCCGCAAGCAATGATGAAATTCTCGCTTACAACTTTCATCAGCTAACTGAGACCAGGCCACCTTATGTTGGAATGGGGTCCTGGGTGTACACCCACTACCGGAGTGGAAGAATGGCAGGCGCATCTTACAGATGACTAGTCGATGGTCAGAGGGCAGATCAGCTCCACGGTAAGTCCTGGTGTCAAGGACATCGGCTTGCATCCGCTGGTCCGTCACTATGTAGTCCAGCAGATGTTCTTGCTTGGACCCGGCATGCATCCATGATGTGTGAATGCACCGATGCCGGAACAGTGTGTTGGTAATTACAAGCCCATGGGCTGCACAAAAATGTAGCAGCCCCCTACTGTTGTTATTGAGCTGATCTGGCCCATGCCTTCCAATCACTCCAGACCAGGTGCCAGCATCATGACCAACTCGGGCATTGAAGTCACCCAACAAGATGACTATCCCGAGGGGCCACTTTATCCAGCACCTGTGACAGGAGGTCATAGAAGGCATCTGACTCATCGGCCGTGCCTGCATCCCTCCACGGATGTTCGTCTTCGGTGGGGGCATAAGTAACCACGACCACCACTCCTCACCTCCGGTTGATGGGAAGGCGAGCCCAAAGGATCCTGGGGCTTACAGCTTCCCACACCTCACCGCCACACTCCCACGCCCCCTTCATTATTTTGTTCAGAAGAAGAGCCACACCCTGTTGTTTGGCAGTCTCCTGCCCCGAGTAGAGGACTGTCCACCCCTCATGGTGGCAGGAGCCAGAGCCGGTCCACCAGACCTCCTGAATGCCACAGAGATCCAGGCGGTACTAGTCCAGCTCCCGACAGAGGAGTGGCAGCCTCTCCTCCACGTGGCCATCTGTTGTCGCTTTTCGCTGTTTCTGGAGGAGCCCCGAGGGTAAAGATTGAATCTCCGGGCTCTGCCATTGGGGTTTGGCCAGGAGACGTCATAGACGCCTGTCCCCCCGGGGCCTCCGGCACAAGCTTATTAGTTAGATATTTCAGTTTTCGTGGTTTAGTGGTAATTTATTGAAGGTGGAGGGGTTACCAGCCCCTCGCACCCATCCAGAGCCCCCATTTAGCTGCTGTGGTGGTCACAGACGCCCCGAGGGGACAGGCCAATCGGAATTGCCCCCCCCCCCACAGCACTGTCCACGACAGCGTTGTCCGTCCGGCACCGCGAGGAGATCGGGGGTTAATTTGCCAGACACACACACAGACAAAGATCCCTCGTATAGCCTTCACAGACTGTAGGGGCAAATGCTGTTAGCGAGCACCTATGAAGGCTAGAACGGTACACGAGGGGATGGGTGGCCAGCAACACGCCCGACCGCCTTTGTCTCCCCAGTGGCGATGTTTATACAGTAAAGCTTGGATTGCGAGTAACTTGGTCTGCGAGTGTTTTGCAAGACGAGCAAAAAATTGTAAATAAATATTAATTTGATAAACGAGCGAGGTCTTGCAATACGAGTAGTACGTGTATACGCTTTGCCGAGCGTCACGTGATCACAACTGATATACGAGTGCTTTGGATTACAAACACGTATCCGGAACGAATTATGCTCGCAATCCAAGGTTTCACTGTACACCGCACCAGGTACTCATTTCAGGCTGAGTCGACCTAGGGGAGGCCCAGGACCGGTCCAAATAACCGTCACTGGTGTCGGCCGTGAGCGGGAATTGAACCCGTGTCGCCAGGTTCATAGCGCAGCGCGCTAACTGCTACACTACCGCACAGACACACACACACAGACACACACACAGACACACACACAGACAGACACACAGACAGACACAGACAGACACACAGACAGACAGACACACAGACAGACACACAGACAGACACACACATACAGACACACACACACAGACACAGAGACAGACAGACACAGACAGACACACACAGACACACACACAGGCACACACACAGACACACACACAGACAGACACATAGACAGACACACAGACAGACACACACAGACAGACACACAGACAGACACACACACAGACACAGACACACACACAGACACACACACAGATACACACAGACAGACACACACAGACACACACAGACAAGACACAGACAGACACACACAGACAGACACACACACAGACACACACACACACACACAGACAGACACACAGACAGACACACAGACAGACACACAGACAGACAGACACACACAGACAGACACACAGACAGGCGGGTGTGGGCTTTGTTGTGGCTGCTGCTGCTGAGTAGGAGGAGCGCCATTTTTTCACCGCTACCGCCGTTACGCGGATTGCCAACCTTGTCTCCCGCAGAGGCCGGCAGAGAGAGAGAGAACGAGAGAGAGGTAGGAGAGAGTGAGGTGGGTAGGGAGAGGTAGGAGAGAGAGAGAGTGGCGTGCCGCGATTTTTTGTGTTGGTGGCGGTATTGGGTTTGTGGCGAGCGAGGTGAAAGCTGCTGGTGATTGTTTTTTTGCGTTTTAAACTAAGGAATAAAAAGCGTCCACACGCATGGATGTACACACGCAGATTATATATGTAGCAGCAGCATCACCACCACTATGCAGCCTGTCCAACACGTGATGTGTGTGTGTGTGCCTGTGTATGTCTGTGTACGTGTGTGTCTGTTTGTGTCTGTGTGTATGTCTTTATGTATGTCTTTTGTGTGTCTTTGTGTATGTATGTGCCTTTGTGTATGTGTGTGTATGTCTTTGTGTGTGTATGTGTTTGTGTCTTTGTCTGTGTGTGTGTCTTTGTCTCTGTGTATATATGTATCTGTGTGTATATATGTGTTTGTGTGTGTGTCTTTGTCTCTCTGTGTGTGAGAGGCACGTTCAAGAGTTCCCTGTGACTTTATTATTAATTACTTTGGACGCCTTCAATAAAAAGTCCGAAAGTAAAAAAATCGAATCCAAACAAAGCCGCGCGCCCGTTCTCACGTGGCACGGGGGAGGGGTTCGGGTCGAGATACCGGCCTCGGATAGACGCCTCTGCCGGGTGAGGGCGCTCCTCGGCGGCAGGAGCGACAAGGCCCGAGGGGGTCGGGGGGGGGTCTCTTTGTTGTTGTAAACCGAGAATTGACATGTTTAGGAGCGTAAACCTTTTCGTCGATGTGTGCGTTGTGTTGTCGATTTGCCCTTAATAGCAACAGAGCAAACAAAAATAATTGATTTTGGTTTAAAAGTAAACGATACGCTATGAGATGTTAACTACCTCGCCTGGTGTACGGGAGGTCGTGATTCCCACACCGACGCTGACTATTTAGTGCCTGCTGCTGGAAATTTGGAGTTTGCGTCTCTCTCGTTGTTTTTATGATCAGAGGAAACAAGAAGATGCTCGGTGTAGTCGGCACTTTGCTTCGTTCATCATTTAGTTTTTTATTTTAATCTTTGCTTTATGTAACTCCCCTCTCTCTCTGCCCCCTCTCTCTCTACCCCCCCCTCTCTCTACCCCCCTCTCTCTTTGCCCCCTCTCTCTTTTGCTCTCTCGTTCTCTCTTTTTTTCATGTATATATATTTTTTACTACGACAAGTGCTGCATCTGCACGCAGCCCTTCTCGCAGTCCAACGTCCTCCCACGGGTAGCTTATATCTGCATGCAGAGCTCCCCGTCATCTGCCACCGAGCACACGGCCTCCTGCAGCTCCCACTACGGTCTCCCTCTCTCCGTGGTGGTCGCGTGGATTTATCTCCGGCTCACGCGTTTGGAGTTACAGATAGTCCCCGAGTTACGATATTTCGATCTTACGACAGTGATACGACACGACGGACAGCATCTTGGTGAGTACAGTACAATGTGATACGTTACGATACGTTCAATGCATGTGTGATGCGTAGCTTTAGCGATTTCATTTGAGGGTTACCACGATACGTTCAATGCATGTTCAAAGTTTTTACAGCAGACTAGCATAACTACCCGGCGTTGCCCGGGTGAAAAATATATTTCTTAATAACCTTACATATATACACAGATGGGCTGCTACCCCTGCCCCCCCCCCCCCAGCCACGATCTCCTCGGCCGCTGTGCAGTAGTATGTACGGCCTATAGTGTGGTGGGGTGTCGAGGCCTAGTACCGTGCAGAGCCTCTGGCCTCGCCTAAATTGCCCACCCGGCTGAGGCTGGGTACCGGGGCCGTTACTCCCCCCCCCCCCCCCCCCGTGCTACAATAATACAGTGTAATCGCTATAATTTTATTATCTACCGACCCTATAATAGTAATTGCACACATTGGGGTGGCGGGGGAGTGAAGAGGATGTGAAACTTTGATGAATTTACCTCAGAGTCGCGTGTTAATGCGTGCGCCTATTTTTAACGGGAATTAAAAATGGCGTCCACCCCGCGGCGAATGCGTCGCTACCCGTTGCCAGGGGCAACCGCCGGACCAATCATGTCTCGCAAATCCCTGACATTTCGTCCAATGAAACTGCGTATGGTCCAATACACAGACACACACACAGACAGACGGACAGACAGACAGATTTGCGATTTTATATATATAGATAGGATTGTTTCCTGAAACAAGCTTTCTATGAAATTGCAGTTCATATAGGTAGGCTAAGAATTTACCTTGTTTTTTTACTTTATATTTTACTGTGCCATACAGTATTGTAGTTAATAAATACATACAGTATATAGTTTATACAGTACGGTACTGTAAATTGCTCTGTTTTGCTAAATTATCACCATTCTGTAAGACTCCTGGGTAGGCTATAGGCCATCTTCGACTTACGATATTTTTGACTTACAATGGGGTCGTCGTAACGCATCTCCATCGTAAGTAGAGGACTACCTGTACATTATTACACACTTTTATTTAACTTTTTCTCTCTGTTGTCGTATCCTCAAATCTTGTAAATAAATTTTACCCCACTTTCCAATGTGGCATCGACTGCAAACTTGTTATACGTATGTCATACTAATGACAATACTATATTCTATCATAAAAAGGAAACAAAAAAATTGTAAACAATCTTTTTACACACTTTTTGTGAACTCTGTTGTTGTCGTATCCTCAAATCTTAACTCAATTTTAACCCACTTCCCAATGTGGTATCGACTGCAAACTTGTTATACTTATGTCATACTGATGGCAATACAATATTCTATATATATTAAAAAAAAGTATTTTTAAACATTAATTATTATAGGTTAGATGTTTCGGCTTGGGTCTAATTGTCTACGCTCAACTCACGTTGGCTGTAGTTGACCACGGTCCCTTACGTTATGGCAAGCCTCGGGGCCACTTCCTGGAGTCGTGGAGTTCTGCCATTACTAGTAGGGTACATTTCATTAAAGTGTGTTTTTTAAAAAGCATTTTTAAATATTACTTTTTTTGTGATGGCCAACTTGCTTCTGAAAAAACAGTGGGGCCTTACGTGGTAAAATAAAAATAGTTAATAGTTTAAGTCTATGGGTCGACTGTATCGTTAATTATCTCTGTGGGTGTTTCATGCGTTTTCATTGATATCTATGGGTCTCTATGCGTCTCTGTGTATCTATACATCTCTCTCTATCTCTATGGGTCTTAATGTATCTCTATGGGTCTCTATGTATCTCTATTGGTCTCTATGTATCTCAATGGTTCTCTGTATCTCAATGGGTCTCTATGTATCTCAATGGGTTTCTATGTATCTCAGTGGTTCTCTGTATCTCTATGTATCTCAATCGGTCTCTTTGTATCGCAATGGGTCTCTATGTATCTCAATGGGTCTCTATGTATCTCAATGGGTCTCTATGTATCTCAATGGGTTTCTTTTTATCTCAATGGGTCTCTATGTATCTCAATGGGTCTCTATGGGTCTCTATGGGTCTCTATGTATCTCAATGCGTCTCTTTGTATCTCAATGGGTTTCTTTTTATCTCAATGGGTCTCTATGTATCTCAATGGGTTTCTATGTATCTCAGTGGTTCTCTGTATCTCTATGTATCTCAATCGGTCTCTTTGTATCGCAATGGGTCTCTATGTATCTCAATGGGTCTCTATGTATCTCAATGGGTCTCTATGTATCTCAATGGGTTTCTTTTTATCTCAATGGGTCTCTATGTATCTCAATGGGTCTCTATGGGTCTCTATGGGTCTCTATGTATCTCAATGCGTCTCTTTGTATCTCAATGGGTTTCTTTTTATCTCAATGGGTCTCTATGTATCTCAATGGGTCTCAATAGGTCTCTATGGGTCTCTATGTATCTCAATGGGTCTCTTTGTATCTTAATGGGTATCCATGTATTTGGCTGCTGCTATAAATGTGCACGTGACGACGATGATGATAAGCCGCTTAGTTGAGCTTTCACTTGTGTTAGCCAGGTCACTTCCAAACAAAGAGCTCCAGAGCATCTCAGTTGAGGGACCTTACCTGGTGAAGTATAAATAGTTAAATTTCGATTTAAAGTTTTCGTGACTGCAGGGATTCATCTTCTTGGTTCTTTCGGTAAAGTCACGTAGAATGGAAATAATCAAATAATAAAAATAAAACATAATAAAATAATTCTCATGACGTTTCGGCCACAACGCAAGCAGCCGTCCTCAGGTGAAGAACAGGTCTGTCGATAAGCCAGTCTGAATGACTCTGTCTTATCGACAGACCTGTTCTTCACCTGAGGACGGCTGCTTGCGTTGTGGCCGAAACGTCGTGAGAATTATTTTATTATGTTTTAGTTTTATTATTTTATTATTTCCATTCTACGTGACTTTACCGAAAGAACCAAGAAGGTATAAATAGTTAGAAAATGTTTATTGTTTAGTTGTTAAGGCAGCGCGAGACATCTGGCGTTATCTTTGTACCTGGACGGTGACTGCAAGGGGCTGAAACCCTGCAAGTGACTTTGCTGGCGCTGCTGTAGCTCTAGAGAGAGCATCTTCCCGCCCCAGAGGGAATTGGCCTACTCTTCCATCACGACCAGACGTTTGAATGGGGGTGAGGAGTTACCCCACTACACCGTGACCTGTGCGGGCTGCCATCCGGGGCCGAATCATTCAATCGGCCACAGTAGTAGGCACTCTGCCTAGGGCCTGCTCACTCACCCAGTCACTCACCCAGTCTCTCACTCAGCCACTCACTCACCTACTCACTCACTCAGCCACTTACTCACCTACTCACGTAGTCACTCACCCAGTCACCCACTGACTCACTCAGCCAGTCACTCACCTACTCACTCGCCCACTCACTCAGCCACTCACCCACTCACTCACCCAGTCACCCACTCACCCACTCAGTCACTCACCCACTCATCCACTCACCCACTCAACCACTCACTCACTCAGCCACTCACTCACCCACTCAGCCACTCACCTACTCACTTACTCACTCACCCACTCACTCACCCAGTCACTCACCCACTCACCCACCCACTCATCCACCCACTCACCCACTCACTCACCCACTAACTCATCCAGTCACTCACCCACTCACTCACCCACCCATTCACCAACCCACTCAGCCACCCACTCACCCACTCACTCACCCACTCACTCACCCACTCACCCACCCACTCACCCACTCATCCACCCACTCAGCCACCCACTCACCCACTCACTCACCCACCCATTCACCAACCCATTCACCCACCCACTCAGCCACCCACTCACTCACCCACTCACTCACCCACTCACTCACCCACCCACTCACTCACCCACTCATCCACTCACTCACCCACCCACTCATCCACTCACTCACCCACCCACTCACCCACTCATCCACCCACTCACTCACCCACTCATCCACTCACCCACCCACTCACGCACGCATTCACTCACCCACTCACTCACCCACCTATTCACCAACCCACTCACCCACTCACTCACCCACTCACTCACCCACCCACTCACTCACGCATTCACTCACCCACTCACCCACCCATTCACTCACCCACTCACCCACCCACTCATCCACCCACTCACCCACTCACTCACCCACTAACTCACCCACCCACTCACCCACCCACTCACCCACCCACTCACCCACTCATCCACCCACTCACCCACTCACTCACCCACTCACTCACCCACCCACTCACTCACGCATTCACTCACCCACTCATCCACCCACTCACCCACCCAGCCACCCACCAGAGCCGTATTATCCAACATACCACAGTAGTAGGCACTTTGCCGAGCAGCAGTAGTCGCAGCGCTACCCACGTCGTATCTCGCCACACGTTATCGTCGTCATTATTACCGCTTCATGGCGGGGTTCTGGAAATTGTTTTCTCTTCACACGGGCACTGTTCAGGAACGCATCCTACTACTACTGCGCCAAGCGAGGGAATTGTATATGGTACGGTACTAACTACTGTGGTGTCTCATACTCTCGGGTATATAGATGATGATCACCATCATCATCGATAATTGTAATATTTATCAGGCGGCGGAATGGACAAAACCGCTTTAAAGGATGCAACCCATTCTGGTCAACGGCACCAAAAAGAAAGTAGCTGCTACACTTGATTTCAGTGTTCAAAATTGATATACACTAGATTTGAAGCTTTCGTGACTGCAAGTATTCATACTCTTAGGTTTTTTTCGGTAAAGTCACGTAGGTAAAAAAATAATAAAAATATGAATAGAAATAAAATAACAAATCACGACGTAGACTTGTGTTGCCTCCGAATCGTCGTGATATATTATTTTATTTATATATATATTTTTTTACCTACGTGACTTTATCGAAAAAACCTAAGAGTTTGATATACACTACATTATACACTACAAGCAAACATAATTGGACACTGAAAATACTGTACGTTTTTTTTTACTCTTTTGAGAATTTGCAACAACACCACG